AACTCATCCACTCTCATTATATGATTTCATATCAGTAACCTTGTAAACATATGTTCAGTATTATATAGGATTTATAGAATCCTATATAGAAGTTTAGGATTTTGTATTAAAATCTCAGGATCTTGGATAATTGAAGGGAAAAATTACGAAGGGCATCTGATAACTGGGGCAGTGTGTGAAAGTGACTAGCATGCAGATGTGTTGATACAACTGGAATTGTACTAAAGGATGAGATACCATGAAGCATCATACTGATCATAACAATTTCTACCCAACTCCCTTCAGGATAGGCACACAGTTCCTTTTCCAGGTATTGGATACCATTGCCAAAATTGATCCAATCAGGGACTGCTATGAAATGTCTGAAAACTTGGTAGTTAGGTTACCTGTGCATTGTTTAACTCATGATTAACCTATAAGGTTCAGACATCATATAGCAGGGATTGAATATCCCAAAAGTCTGTGGAACATACTTGCACTAATTATCCAACTCCTCCAGAAAACCACAAATTGAATATAATTAACTTGGTCCCATTACTTCCAACTAGCTAGCTAGATTGAGGAGACTGTGGTCACTTCTCCCAGGCCAGAAATTCCTCTCCAGTGGTGGACATCACTTGAGCAATTCCCATATTTCCTACTAATTGCTTTTCTATTGTAAGTCTGAACAAGAATTGCTGTTGAATTTTCAAACTTCAGCTGTCACTTTGAATTTTGAATGCTTTCTGATAGATCCTAGAGCTAGCAACTGAAAAACATGATGCAACCATTTAGTCTTTTTCTTATTAACAAACCTTTGGAGAAAAAGATATAGAAGTACTGACTGAACTGCTTGAAGGATCTCATGGGCAGCTAGTCTGCTATTGTGAGAATGGAACACTAGACTAAATGGACCATTGCTCTGATCTAGCTTAGCTTTTCACATGCTCTTTCTTCAAAACATAGCAAACGGAAGTTGATGTCAGCTAGACCCACATACAATTCCTTGAATGAGGCAGCCAGGTTTCTTTATGAAGAAGAACAGCTGGATGATACCTTCTGTTTGGGGGCATTAGGAAATGTTTTGATTTGAAGCTGGCAAAGAGAATATGGGAGAAGTCTTCTGATGGCTCAGAACATTTTAATACCTGAGGCATAAAATCCAAACAGTGTCCTTCAGTGATTGTTGACATTTAATAATGGATATGCAAAGTCAGGGTGCAAAATCTCAGGCCTGGAAGGCCAAATCCATCCTAACTCGGGGACTTCCAGAATGTGCCAGGACTTTGGTGGCACCCGATTCCACCCAATTTTGGCTGCCTACCCCATATCCCAAATGTACCTCCCAATGGAATTTGGTTCTTAGGCTGAAAGAGAGTCCACATTCCTGCACTGAGTGATGATTTGTTGTCCTTTCAGAGCATGCCATCATCTTCTCCTTCATTTGGGTCATGTAACTCTGTGTAACAAGAAGGACTGGCCATGGTCTGAATTTTGCATCAAGTGTCACAACCTGTGGGCAGGCAAAACTTCCACAGGAAATATTTTGTACATGTCTTACACAGACTTACCCTCGTTTCTGTCTTCCTCTATCAGACCAAAGGGAACAGGCCTTTACTTTCATCTGACCAGTGTTTACATTAACATCAAGGCAGATGACCTGAACAATGGGATCATTTGACAAAGAAATTCCACTGAAAAGTTATTCTTTCACGTGCCGCCAGCATGTGTTTTGCTCTGTTTGCTGATCCTACTGTTAAATGTAGGCGATGACACATCATTCTCAAGGACAGGACAGTATGCATAGTTTTCAACTATGACTTCTCAGGCAAAATCTCTTACAGCTTGCCCCATCAGTCTGTCTGTCTGGCATCCATGTTTAGATGTCAGAAAGGCTTGACTTCTCTCACCATTTTGACCTTTTTTCCTGTCCATTAAAGAAGATGTGCTGGAACTCAGGTTTGCACAGAGCTACATAAGGAAGGGTCAGTCACTTGAAAATGGATCACTGAAAAGCCTGACAGTATATCAAGATTGGCAGAGCTACACAGGGTCAACCGGACCAGGTCCAATCTGAGGCACAGATTTCCTCAAAGGCAAGGACACACTGCCAGTGCAGTGGCTTATGTGGATATCAGATGGCAGTGTGCAGCTGTTAGGGTCTGTGGGTGTTCAGGGTTTGTGGGAGGTGAGGTTCTGTAAACAGGAGAGTCTGGGAGAGGCGCAATTAAAGGGAAAGGCAAGCACACAAAGTACATCTGTGCAAGGGGTGGATCAGCAAGCTGTGCCTTTTAATTCCTCAAACTGAAGAGCTGAGGAGTTGCAGAGACAGCAAGAGTCTTGTCTAGGAACCCTGTGCATCACCAACTCAGCAAGCTGGAAGGCAATTTTTGACCCAGCAGAATTCTATGCTGTTGTCTGACTAGCTCTCATATTGGTGCAAGAGGAAAGAACCAGAGCCTCCATAATCAGGGGTTGAGTAAGCAATCTGGTTCCGTTCAAATTATTTGAACTACAACTGTCCAGCCACCATAGTCAGTGGTCAGGAATTATGGGAGGTATAGTCCAAAACATCTGGAGGCAAAAGGTTGCTTACCCGTAGTCTAGGACTTGAGACCTATGGTAATGGAAAGGACTGTGTTGCACTCTGGTCTATGAAATCTGAAAACATGATGAAACGCCTTTAGGAGATCTCTAAGAAGTTATTGTGGTGCATTTGTATGCTCAGTGAAATCCAACGGCAAATGGTCTTTTAAGAAATTCATTTTGCAATATTTAAGAATCACATTAAAAGCAACTTCTAAGTGCTATACCAACAATATAGTATAAAACTATAATACTGTAGTTTATATTATAAACTGCTACTGTAGTATAGTTCTATACAATACAGTATAAAACTGTAAGAAAATACTACGTGGCAACAAGGAGGATAGGATAACTCTTCTGGGAAAACTTGTTGGAACAAGTACATTTTTTGTAGACACAAAAAACCAAGAATATTCTGCCTAATTACTGCTGGTAGGGCATAGGCACTATGGTAGTAAAGGCCCTATTTTGCGTTGTCATAGCGCAAAATGCCAAAATCTTGGGCACTCCCAGGGCAGTATCTCCTTATGAGTGCAGCAACAGAACAGGCAAGTTGGGGATCAGGAATGCTAAGTATCCTGATCCTGAATTGTGTGGTGCTTTGTAAACAAGAGCCAAAGCTTTAAACCTGGCTTTGTAGTACATATGCTATTGATCCTTTAGCATAGGTGTTATGCGGCAGTGAGAAGCTGATCCTATCACCAGTTCGGCTGTGGCAGTCTGCACTAACTTCATCTTCTGGACCAAACTTAAGAACCGCCCATATAAAGTGCATGGGAGTAATTTGGTTTGGAGGTTTCCAGCGCTTGGGCTGTAGTGGGCAAGCTATCTTTCCAGGAATGATTGTAGCTGTCCTATCAATCAAATCTGCTAAAGGGAATTCCTAGCTATCAAATATTTCATTTCTCCAGTGGCAGCAGATCAAGGAATATCCCTAGGCTACACAGTCGCTTCTTCAAGAACAGCATAACCCCATCCTGGCGACTGACCCAGTTCCGGGACATGGGAACAACACATCAACAAAACCTCCATTTTGCCAGGTTTCAAACTCTGCTGCTCTTCCTCTAGTTCACCACTGCTTCCAGACACTGGCCCAAGCTCCCACACTTTCCACTGATTCAGGCATTACTAAGAAACAGAACTGGGTGTTAGAAGCATACTGATGGCTTTGTTATTGATGGGATTTTTCCCAATAGCTTAATATAGATATTAAATAGGGTTGGGGAAAATAGGGTTGTACAATATCTTAAATGCTGGGGGCTGGGGTGATGAAACTCTCCCAAAATTGCTGTCTTGAGATAGAACTACTGAAGAGAAATACTGAACTACTGAAGAGAGGTGCTCCCAACAGCCAATGGCATCAAAGCCATTGCAAGTTTTTAAGTGACAGAGAGGAGCTTTTGTGTTTGAATAGGCTCCAATGAGCATGATATTTGAAGTTAGCTTGGCTTTTCCAAAAGCTCTGAACTCTAGTGGAATGAAAGACCTGAAGATAAGCATATTAGTTTGCACTTAGGATTCAAAATGCATAAATCACACCTTTGTAATAAACCAAGATTTGATGTCATATCTTCTATCTCTTGGCACTGGTCACTTTTCTTCTAATGGTAGCATTGATACACATTTAAAATTAAAATATATGAGGATATAAACATGGGTATCTACTTAGGGCACAGCTTACTGGATAGTTAAGCATAGTTAAGCCGCTGGAATAATTGAAGTTCATTATTTTCCATTACAAACAACTGCAATACTCAGAATGCATCAAAGAAAGATGGAACATTCTGCCTCACAGTCTTTCAGTTTGGCTGAAAAAGATCCTGAACCCAATGCCCATTGGTTGCTTGCATATTTTTAAAATGCTAAAGATTGTGATAATAGTCACTTTTATAGGCAGGATCTGCAAAAAGGTAACTGATATTCAGAAACATACACAGATGGGCAAATCTGCATCTTCCTGATCCCTTTCACTTCGCATGTTTTTTTTTTCTCATTAAATCACTTTTTTAAAAAAATCCTTTCAAAACACATATTTTATATAGTAAAATGTCTATTTTATTTCAAAATATATTTTGATATTGCATATTTTGATAGGTGTAATCTGCTGAGGACTGTGTTGCAAAATTCAGAGACCTACTAAATCTTTTAAACAGCTGCATTTTTATCTGCACATTAATCAGTTCACTGAATGCTTCAACTATGCCCACAAAATGGGCTCTTTTGCTCCCTCGCATAATCAGAGGCAGTATCAAACACTGTGGATAATTAGGTTCTGACTCCACCCTAACAAATCCTCAAAAAATAAAATTGTGATCCCACCTTTGCTTTTGCTCTTTTTTAAACAGAGGATGCAATCATTGTCCACTTTGTCTACATTTTTTAAAAAGTGCCTGACATCAGCTGAATGGGTTGTACGATGATCTTGGGAATGTGTATTCTCCTGGCTTCATATTACATTTGTGAAGATTACGAGTCTTAAACCTGGCATAGTTCTTGGCCCTTCCTCCTACCCTGCTCTTCCCAATAACCATTAAAATGAGGGTGCTAGAACCGTGGAGCACAAAGTGTTTGCGAGTGTGCTTTCTGTTTTATTTCCCCACAGGCTTGAAGTGCATAGATGAGTGTACATTTTCCTTGTATCAGACTGTGCTAAATATGGTTATGGTCAGTGTGTCAATAATCCTGGTGTTTGAGAGACATACAGACACTGGTGTGTCGGGACATTCTTTCTCTTCAACTCTCCTGCTGACGTCTGATGCTTAAAACAGAGCATGCTTTCATCCTTCTGTACATTGTCGCAACCCCCTAGGAATACTTTTAAAGGGTGCTGCAGCTACTTGGGGAAACAGTCGCTGACCAAACCAGATTCAGACACCTTGATTTCAGCTTTCGTGAATGAGGCATTGTAGTTTCAGCTTTACCTCAGCCTGACAAAAGAAGGGACCATGTCGAACTTTGGCTATAGGCGAGAGCTTAGTAAATATGAAGACCTAGATGAAGATGAGCTCCTTGCTTCTCTAACTGATGAGGAGCTGAAGGAGCTGGAGAGAGAACTGGAGGACATTGAGCCTGACCGGAGCCTTCCAGTGGGGCACAGGCAAAAGAGTCTCACGGAGAAAACTCCAACAGGAACTTTCAGCAGGGAGGCACTGATGGCCTACTGGGAAAGGGAGACCAGAAAACTACTAGAAAAAGAGAGACTCGGGGCATCTGAAAAGGTAGGACAGCCTTCTAGAAATAATTCCTCTCATTGTAAACTCTTGTTTAAGTAAACAGCTCTCCTCTCGGTATTTGCTATTGAACTAGATGGTAGCCTTTTTTTTTAATGAAAGTGAGAATACTGCAGCATGTCAATGAAAGATCTCTTCATCTAACAGAGAGGGATGATTGACATATTCACAATGGTAGAATGCTTATGAGAACACTCATCTCTCTTAAGGCTGTAGATAGGAACACTTCAATACATGCATACATGCTAGGTTGCTGTGTTCAAGGATTTGTTTTCATTTTTAAAATCAATACATTCCTATACATGAGGAAGTATTCCAAAACTTAACCAAGCTTTGGAAGTATTCCAAAACTTAACCAAGCTTCAAATGAAGAAGAGATTATCTTTGGTTTGGAAAGGAGACTGTACGGCCCTCCAAATGTTGATGGACTACAACTCCTCTCACTCCTCACCATTAGCTATCCTTGCTAAAACTGATGGGAGTTCCAACATTAGAAGAACCACACCTCACCCATCCCTCTGGTATGTGATGCTGCCACACATATGTATTTAATCTTCAGTGGCATATTTCATCTACACAATGCTTGATAGTCACATGCTCTGGGGCAGCTGAGGCCAAAGTGTTGGCTTCTTGGCTTCTTATTATCACCATCACGAAATTCAGAAAGCCAGAACAGGTCCACAGTGGAGGCAAGGAGGTACAGCCAATTTAGTGTGATAAGGTACCTACTCATGAATTGCACAAAATGAGGAACAGAATCATCACAAAAGAAAGAAAGAAAGAAAGAAAGAAAGAAAGAAAGAAAGAAAGAAAGGTGACACTGAGTTCCATAACATGTGAAATTGTTAATTTATATGGATCAGTGTATATTTAGATATAATGATTTTAATCTAAATCTACAGCTCACTTGACCATAGTGTGTAAGACTGCGATGAGGAGTGTGTCTTGCTCAAACTGCCCGCAGGACCCGGCTCTTTCTTCTCCTGGAGCTTTATAGCAGCCTTGGAATAGAGCATGGCTTCAAAACAGAGGACTACCCTCTGGCAGCCCTTCAAACAGAGGGCTATTCTCTGCAACAGGGCGTACATGGCTATGGGAGAAGAGACATGGGGACAAGCTACATTCCTTGCTGCCCTCCATTATTTCCTAGATTACATGGAAACTACCCCCCACCCCCACTGCCCTGGCCAGTAGATAATGTTTTCCCCTGCAGGCATTCACTTGTGACCAGTGGAGTGCAAGAAGAATGGCATTCAGTGGACAGGAGCTTGTGCACTCATCCCTACTCCCCAACCTGATGGCATGGATAATTTAAATGCTTAACACAGAATAGAAATCTATAGCATTAATGCAGCTCATGCATTCTAAGAAGCTAGGTTGCATCCAACAGTGTCATTCTACCAGCAGGAGGAGACTGATGGCAGAACAGTTGCCCCCTTCTCTCCTTACCCCCCCCATGTGTCTCCTAAATCTGCCTTGGCAGGTTGGAACACATTTCAGACATAAGGTGGGTTGCAGGAGGGCGGCTACAAGAGAGAGGGGAGGTCAGGGAAGTCCCTTTGTGTCAGTTGACTCCAACCTTCAGTTTGTGTGTGTTGCTTTTATTGCATAATTTGCTATAGAAAAGTCCTTGCTTATTTATTTATTGAGACTAACTGAGAATAATGGAGTGACCTACTAGCAGGTCCCCATACAGTCCTTCCGCTCATCCTTTCTCTAGAGAACAACACAATTTGTCACAAGTGTTCTGTGGGTCACTGGTGTCTTGGACAGAAACTTTGCACAGCATTATAAACAGGTGCATAAGCACAGGAGAATTTCAAAAGCAGTTTGTTCGAGAGAGTAGGAGTGGAGGCTGTGCTGAAGAGACTAGTGGGAAAGATGGGAATGATCCTGTTAAATTAAAGTGCTTTTATGCAGGATTGATTCCTATAGGGAAGATCTGAGCTCACGCTAGACTCTTCCATCGAAAGAAATGCAATGGAAAAGTGCCTAATGTTGGTAGGATTGTGTTGGTAGGAAATCTGGAAGGGCATGCAAAGCCCTCCTGCACACTTAAATCAGTTCATTGGCATCACAACCACTAGACAGTTTCCAGAGACTGCATGGCAGCTTCTGTGTGCCTAGCTGGCTCTGAGGTTCCCTTCTGAAGGCAGCCACAACCAACAGTGAACTGTGTGCTCCTGGCTATCACAGGAATTTCAGGGCTGGTTGATGCTCACACAGATTTCTTTGGCCTTGTTAATCTGTTCCACAACCCCTTAGGGTGGACTGAGTTCTCTCTCTCTCTCTAAACGTTAACCATTCTTTCCTGTCTGGTGCAGTGAAAAGAATGGTGTTTGGCATATGATTGTAGCCATCCAGCCAGTCCTGTGCTGTGTATTAAGGCCATCCGCCCTTACTTGGATTGTCTTCAGTCACCATGGTAAATTCAAACTATTCACCATCTTAACTAGGTATTTCAGATCTGGTTAGTATTACATAATGTGTCGTGTGCACACGCTCAGATGAGATTCCCAGGCATGTGTGAGAAACAGCCTGTTTTGGTGGGACTGAGCTCAGACTCTGAGGATGATGAGGTGCTGGCTGAACCAGACAAGGCTTGGAACTCACACATTGATAATGGAATTGTTGTTGTAATAGACAAGCCTGCACCTGCAGACTCAATCCTGCAGTATCAGTCTGAGTCTGCTCTGGATGAGCATGGCTCAAGGACATCCATGGGGCCCAGTCTTCCCTCTTGTGGGGATGGAGAAGAACGAGAGGGAGGAGATTTGGAAATGGGTAGTCTCTCGGATGGAGAACGCCAGCCTCCTGAAGATGTGGACCTGAGGGCCTGTCATCACAGCCACAGGCTGGCCCAATTAGGGGCTAAGAGTGCAGGACGCAGGCGCGACTGGTTCCACAGTGCCCCTCCTTCCAGAGACAGGTCCTGAAGGGTTCATAAGCAAAGCTTTGGGTAAAGGGGGACAGAGAGGGTTCAATATCTCTTTGTGTATGCTTAGAGTCTTCTATGTAGAATAAAGATGCTTACAAGAAGTGCTGGAGAATCTGTCTTGCTTGGGAGGGAATGCCTAGCTCACAACATAATGGTTAAGGTTGGTTAATAGCATCTTTAACTAAAGATTACCATAAGTAAGGAGATGAGTTGAGGGAAGGAACATTCAATTCTGGGCTTGATTGTTACAGCAAAATCCTTTATATGCCTACTCAAAAGGCATACTTACTGAGTTCCCAAGGAATTGGATACAGGATTAAAGCCTTAACCTTTTAGCTGGGTATTATGTCTACTGTTCACCAGATCTAGATCTTCAAAGGAAACCTATTTCTTTAAAAGGTTATACTGGTCAAAAATCAGCATATTTTCTCCAGATTAAAAGGTCTTGCAATGTTTATGGAAGATCCTCAAATTTCTATTCTACATTTTAGCTAAGAGATTGATAGTATGTCACTGTGTCAAATGCTGGGCTGGGATTCAGCCTTAGGGGAGGTACTTCAGTTTTTATAATGGAAGGGGGGAAGTTTGGTAACCACCAAATGGTCAGTGTTCGAGGAAATGGGTTGGAGCAGGAGAAGGGGGCATGGCCACATGCAGGCCCTGAAAGAGGCAGTTGAAAGCCCAGGCAGGACACATGTGATCTTTAGGCCTGAGGTTAAACTCCTCTATTACAGAATAAGAAGTATCACAATAAGTATGAAAAACAATTCATGAACCATGATATTCCAAACCCTCCCCCTCCCTATCACTCTGTATGCAACAAATGTCTATTTTATATTTGGTTTTCATTCATTTAAAAGAAGGTGTCTGGAGACCATGTTCTCTTTACCTGGTCATCCTGGTTCTAATGAAAAGCTGGGTGGGGGAAACAGGCAGGCAAAATGACTCACACACTGAAAATAAAAATAAGCGAAAAGCGTTTTCCAAAATTATAACTGACAATATCTCAGCAGTTGGCCATACACATCTCACCTTAAAGGAAGTAGTCTTTTTTCTCTTGTGTCCCTTTGTTTCTTTTGTAACATTATCATTTGTTTTTGTACAGCATCAAACTGGAACAACTAAAGAGAGAATAACATTCCAAGGAGTATACAGATTATAGAGCTATATTTACCACTGGACTGATAGGGCTGTGTACTCTGCCCATGTAAAGCAACACCATTCCAGTTGACTTCCATGGAATTATCTCCCTTCTCGATTGGCGCTTATCAGAATTGAGCTGGAGGAATGTAACCAAGCACTAGAGCTAGAGTGTTGGTATGCAGTCCATCAAAATATTAATATAGTATTGGTCATACAGGCAGCCCAGCAGTGACAAATAAATGATTATAAAAACAATTCTGCAATAGAAACTAGTAAACAGTAACAATCAAGATGCAACAAGGCCTTCAGAACAGTGTAACGCAATAGCACACCCAAATAGCAAGCACTGTTATGTCTCATCTGAGAAGGCACAAGCACAGTTAATTCTATACCTAATTTCAGCCTTCACTTGAGGCCGGTTGGCACTTCTCTGAAATTGTTCTCCCTTTCAAGCACAATTATTATTGTAACTTTAGCTCCAAACATTTAGGACATGATCCTTTTGCATGACAGGCACAAGGCGCACATGCAGAAGATTCCAACCGGGATCAACAGAGCTGTGGTTCCCTAGTTATACATACATACAGAGGTGCAAATACTAGCAGAAGAAGTGCAATGGAACATTAGGCAGAATGTGAGCAGTCAGCATTGCGCTTCATACAGTACTCATGTCTGGAGTAGCAGTAACATGCATCAGGCAGAGACAGAGGATCTCTGGGGATTCCTACTCCCCAGAATGCCTCATGGGCCAATGGGGAAACATAATGGAGAGTACACAGGAGCTACATGAACAATCCAAGAAGACTAAAACTTCAAGAATTTTCTCAGCCATGCTTGCTAGTAGTGATATTTGTTCTCCCAGGTTTTTCACTTGTTTCAGCTATAATTTCTGACTGTAGTGCAACTACTGTTGGCAGCTGGAGGAAGGATGTCAAAACTGGATTACCAGTTAAGAGGGCAGACATGGCTGCCTTGGGTTTCAGTTTCCTTCATTGTGAAATATTGGAGATTAAAACAGCTGAACTTGCTTATGCATAGGTTGTGGTTAATGAGAGGTAGATGTAGTAACTTCCTAAACGTAGGTGAGTTGGACACATTCTCAAGAAGGCACAGAAATGGATAACATAAGCCAGGGATGGGGAAGCTCAGGTCTGCGCCCCAAATCTAGCCCTCCATGACCTTCATTCCCAGTTCTAAAATGCTGAAATGCCTTTCCCAAGGCTTAGTTAGTGCTACTCAGAGCTTTTTTATTTTTGGTCTTTTTAAACTTTTCATCCTAGCTCTTTTGCCTTGGAATGGGGTCTTCCAGGGCTTTACCAAAAATAAAATAAAGCCGTTTTTAGGCTATAGCACTAAAATAGATTTCCCTACTGTAGCTATATGCTGAAATGCCAAGACAATACATAAGAGCTTTGGCAAACATTCTTAATTTTTTTTAATGTTTAGCATTTCTTATATTTATTCACAGAGTCTATTCCTCTCACAACAAGCAGGATGCAGATATAATGTTCTACGGAAAAAAGACAAGATGCATGTGCACACACAATCATAATTATCAGGGGTGAAATAATGTCCACAGGAAACATAGCATAAGACATAATATGGAGCCCTCTTCTTACTTTATGGCATTCCTTGGCTATTTATGCAGTGCAGTTCACTAGCCGCATATTTTCAATATAAGGCTAGGTTCAACTCATTCATGCATCTGTTCCTTTGCTCCCCAAAACCACAACTTGTAAGGTATTCCAGCTTCTGCTGTGTTTCTGGACAATAAACCATTAAATCAGGTTTGGCCTTCCTGTTGAATGCCAATATTTTTCCTCTACTTTAGGGTGACATGGTTGGTTTTACCTGTAATGGTATAGCCAATCATGAATGCAGTAAAGCTGAAAAACAACAAAGAAAGCAACAGTCATAAAATGATACTTCCTTGATAAAGGAGAGTGTTATATTATTTGACTTGTTCTCAGTGATGCTGTGGATACTCTCAATTAAGTGTCCATGTCACAAAACTACAGAATTCCAGATTCCAAAGATTGAAACCCTAAAGAAAAAAGATAAGTTTTTACACTGATAAATACTGAACCTTCATTCTCTTTTAGGATTCTCAACAAGAACAAGAAGAAGATGATGATGACAAATCTGAAGAAATTAATGAAGAGTATTTCACAGGGAGGAACAGTGAAGTCTCTGAGGAGGCATACCTTGAAGGAGATGAAGAAAAGGATGACAAAGAAGAGGAGGAAGAATTGGAGGAAGAAGAAGATGGAGAAGGAGAAGAAGAGGAGGAGGAAAGTGGTTCAGATAATGATAATGAGGAAAAAGAATTTGCTGAAGAGGCTAAAAAGACTGCCAATACTGGACGCAGAAGAAGTTCACTCAAAATTAAACTTAAAACATGCAATAAGAATGAAAATGAAGTTGTTACGAATGGTCACACTGAAAAAGATGCAGAAGACTTAAGTTACAGAATGGGTGCCATGCACCCATGTGGAAATCCAACTGTGATTGAAGATGCTTTGGAAAAAGTTAGGGACAATGATCCTGACACCACTGAGGTCAACTTAAACAACATAGAAAATATTACTCCTCAAATGCTTATGCATTTTGCTCAAGCCCTCAGGAACAATACTGTAGTAAAGACTTTTAATCTGGCTAACACACATGCTGATGACAATGTTGCAATGGCTATTGCAGGTATGCTAAAAGTGAATCAGCATATAACAAGTCTGAACCTTGATTCCAATTTTATCACAGGCAAAGGAATAATAGCTATTATGAGGGCTTTGCAGAATAACAAAGTTTTAACTGAATTCCGGTTCCACAATCAAAGGCATATAATGGGCAGTCAGGTTGAAATGGACATTGTTAAACTTCTGAAGGACAATACTACTATTGTGAAGCTGGGCTATCACTTTGAGCTTGCTGGACCAAGAATCAGTATGACAAGCATTCTGACAAGAAACATGGATAAACAAAGGCAGAAACGGATGCAGGAACAAAGACAGCAAGAGTCCAATTGGGATGGAGCAAGCAATCCAAAGACTAAAGCTTTGCAAAAAGGAACTCCTGGTTCTTCACCCTATTCATCTCCCCGGAGTTCACCTTGGTCATCTCCAAAACTTCCTAAAAAGGTCTCAACTATTCAACACCAGCCTTCTCCCAAAAATTCGCCTCTGTCCTCTCCAAAGTTACCTAAAAATGTCCCTCCTGTTAAAATCCACCCCCCATCCCCACCCCCACCTCCTCCACCTCCTCCTCCTCCTCCACCACCACCTCCTCAGATAGTTCCAGAGAAAAAGGCACCAACAAGAAATATTGCTGAGGTTATCAAACAGCAGGAAAGTGCCAAAAGGGGGGCTCTAGAAAAGAAACAGAAGAAAAAAGGCAAGAAAAACAAAACAAAAGAAAAGGAGATCTTAAAAGAAATTAAACATTCATTAAAAGCAGTCCCAGACAAGAAGTTAGAAGGAGGTTCACGTCCGTCTTCCCGACCTTCTACTCCAATGAGATCCCTCCACAGTGATCTCATGGATGCAATTCGTGCAAGCAGTATAAAACAGCTAAAGCGGGTAAGTATTTTCATTTATTTATTTGGAACATTTATATGCTGCCCCATTCGCAAAAATTTCAGAAGCTTATTCAGATAGGGAAACAAATTATGTGATGGGTATATGATGGTTTAAAAAATAAATCCATGAATGATAGATGACATCATGAGATTAGTATTATCATCAAATTTGCAATACACAATTCTAAACGTACTTTTACAATATATAAAATACAGTCATTTGTCTTGGTTTGTACCATTGTGCCGTTAAAAATATCTCGAGTCTGAGTTAAAATATTATTAGTTATTTTGTATAGACAAAAAAGTATTAGCTTGATCAGTCCCTGATAAAGTCATTTTCAGTAACCTTTTCTTCAGAAAATTATGGAGATTTGGATAGTTGGAAGACAGCAGGAGTGATAGGAGAGACCGAACAAGTAGAATTCTCCAAAAAGTGCTAAGGATAGTAGCCTTATTTAGTTGCAGAAATATTCTGCATTCTTGACATGCTTGATTGGTTTCAAGTATTAACAATCTTTGTTAGAGTCAAAAGCCAAATTTCCTAAATGGGTTCCTTTACATTTCATGATTTTTGGGAGAGCCAAGTACCAGAACAAGTGTTTTCCTCAAAATGAGAACTCTTCATTCAAGAGACAAGACGTAATGTGTAAGCATCACTGGGCACCTGGCAGGGCTTACTCTGCTGGTTGCTAAGTCTTCTGGTCTTCCCCCTACCCCTCCTCACCATCACTACAAACAATGACAGAAAAGCAGAGATGATGCAAATGCCTCTACCTATTTTGTGCTATTCCATTGGTGATTGTAGGGATTGTGTTGCCAGAGGGAGAGGCAAAAAGTTATGGCTTGGAGAGGAGGAGACCAGACAGAGGAGGCCAGGTGGGAACTCCGGGGGCACTTACTCAAGGCTTTCCCCATTTAAAAAAAACCAAACACACACCTGGAATCAACACTGTTGGATGCAAATGAACAGATTTCATTAGCATTTCAGAGGAAGTTCACCTCTTTGGCTGAAATAGACCAGTTCTCTCCAAAGCTACATGACTGGAATTATTCCCTTGAGATTGCTTACTACTTACTTTACACTTGAACCAGATACAATTGTTTTAAAACATTTTCAATTCCTAAGGGAGTCTGGGGAGTGGAGAGAAGTACACAACAGGTCTTCTTGCTTTAAAATGTATTGTGTAGTTATGCCCAGCTCAAAACAGGAGGAGTTGCTGGACTTCTGGATGGCTGAGGGCCCTCAGCTGTGGTGTCTTTAGCAATGAAAATGGATCAGAGCAAATCAGATTTCCAGTGTCAGGACTAAAAGTGGAAGAGTAGGCCTGAGTATGACCAGTGGAGAGAAGATGCATGTGTATTTGAGAGAGAGAGAGAGAGAGAGAGAGAGAGAGAGAGAGAGAGAGAGAGAATTCCAAGCAACTGGGGAGAAAATGTGGAACATCCTGAGTGCCAATAAAGAACAATAATGTGTTAATACTTTTTGTAGCCAATATTATTACACCTCATTTATATTACATCTTTTTTTCTCTCTTATGGGGAACCAAAGGAGGCTTATACAGACCTCCTCCACTCATTATATCTACCCAGCAGCAACCCTAATGAGGTGGGTTAGGCTGAAAGTGAGTGACGGGTCTAAAGTCATCCAATGAGCTTCATGGCTGAGTGCAGACTAGAACCTGGATCTCTCAGATCCTCAGTCTAAACACTCAAACCACCAGACCATACTGGCTGTCAAATAACCAGAATGTTGTGTGTTCACATTTTTCTGTAGCCTTTGAAAAAAGAAATCTACATTTCCAAAACTTGTGGGGCTGTGATAAAACCTTTTTCAAGGGCACCCAGAACTTTTTTCTTATTTTCTCCCCCGTTGCTTCCTCCTTCATATGTGTGACTTCCCCTCCCATTCAACCATCATTTATATATTTTCGGGCCCTGAAACAATGTTTTAATACATTTCTAGAGCCAAAAATGCCCCCCTTTATTTTTATTATTCTATAACACCATCTATTTCATGTTATTCTACCACACACCATTATTTTTATTTTGGGGTAGAATGGGATGTAGAATCCTAATATGGCAAGTGGCTCTTGAATACAGGCATGTTTATATAAAGTACTTCCATTTTCTGCAATTGCATGATGGGAAGCGTTTCTGCTCATCTCATCCCTTTCTCCCATGTTAGGATTCTAAGGGTATGTGGGAGCAACCCTGACAGCAGATGTGAAAAACTGCCCCTTATCATAGGAATGCCAATATCTGAATCTGGGTGGTAGAATTCAGAGGCTTCAGATACTGGTCTGGGAGCAAAATCAATCCTTTCCCATAGATGGCTAGGTTCTATAAAGTTTGCATCAACTGTCAATAAGAGCTGCACAGGTATGGAACACATATGCTTGATAGAACATGGACTCTCTGTTTCTCCACACACACACACACACACACACACACACACACACACAACCCACTGGAAGTTGTCCTCATTTGGAAGATGTGCAGTGGGCCTTTGAGAAAATGCATGAAAATAGCTATAATGACACGTGCAACATGACTAGGAACCACACATGTAATCTCAGATGCATTCCTTGCAGTTGTATCTGAAAACAACGAAGTCTTGATACATACACATGTTGTAGGTCTAGCAAACACAAAATAACATAGCTTTGTAGGTAGTGATTGGCCATCAGGTAGCCAATCTTGCTGTATCCATTAATCAGGATGAGCAACAGTGGTCCAATATCACAGAAAAGAGCACTTTCTTTATGCAAGAAGTATATTAGAGGGGCAAGCAGTCATGTCATGTGGTTGAGCAATGCCCTATTCAAACCACTGGTGGATTATTTCGGTGAGGTCAGGAGGATGGGGATGACTTGGTAGGAATGAGGTTTCTTTTCCTTTTTTCTGTTTTTCTTTTTACTGCTATCAACAGGAAGAACTAAACTACCTGGCTGACATAGTTTAGGATCCATTTGTTTGGTTTCTTGGGGAAACAATGGGGCTTAGGATCTGAAATGCTTCTGACACACTCCTGCAATACCCAAGAGCTTTGACTCCTTCCTTACATGACATCTACACCTTGGAGATTTTCATGGGCTAACAGGGGGCCTCCCCTTCTAATAACCTCTCAGCTGCACTTTCCTGGCTTTAAAATCAATCCCAAAGATAATTTTCACTCCTGATAATTACAACTCCTGATTGTTTCATTTCTAATTAATATTTCTAAATGAAAAAAAACCTTTTTATTTTTTTAAGGTGGAAGTCCCAGCAGCTTTGCGATAACCAAACCCACATAATGGAAAGGATTGAAAATACTGTGATGGTTAAGAGAAAGCTACAGAATTTTTCTGCAGTGATGCAACAGACTCATATAAATGGCTTCAAAGACGCACTCTTTGATTTATAATATGAAGCAAGAGACCTATGGAATATCAAGTAACACTTTAAAGGATGCATCCATATTTTTTCTTTTGTAAATATGGAAAGTACTTTTTTATCTAATGAGATTTCTATGAAGAAATAGTTTATTTAGATACTCTTGTTGATACCAAGCAGCACAGAACATGTTCTTTCTACAGAGAAGCAATTGTTCAGTGACCTGTGCTGTTGTTTTGTCTGCCTCATGAATTTACAATAAAAGTGGTTTGAATTTAAGTGACCAAGCAATCTTTAAATCATTGTGTGCCCATTAGCAATATTCTGTGGGGTTAGGGGAGCATGTAGCAATGAGGCAAGATAATTCTTCATATACCTAAGATTAAGAGTGAATCCATCTCATATAAGGCCACCACATTAAAATGCTGGAAATGCTGGGTGTGCATAGCAGCAGATGGAAAATCCAGGAGCTCTCAGTACATGGATTGCAACAATCACTCTGTCTCTCCACACGGAGCTGGTCATTGTTAGGAATGTGTGATGATAGCAGGAAATCCTCCTTTTAATCAAGGGGATTGACATGAGTAGTTCTTGCATGCTGTGGCTGTCCAGGAGCTGAGGTCACAGGGATATTTCACAGAGAATTGCATTGTATGAAGCTGCAAGTCATAAGTCCTGCATACCACATTTTTCGGTACATTGCTCTTGCACATGTCTCTAACACAGAAACAAATCCTTTAAAGAATTTCATTGCTATACAAATTATTGATTTCTTTATCATTTTTCTGAGGCCATCACACCCTGAACTCTCTGCCATCCCAGGCAACCAAAATGGCAGCCAGTGCCTCACCAGCAGAACCAAATGCAAGTCAGGGGGGTCCCAGAGCGGATTGCTGTGCACAGTGGTCATTCACACGGGCTGAAGAAGGAATAGTCTGAGCATAGGATACATGTTCCTTTCAATGAGTTGCACAGTATTACAGGATCATAGCAAAGGGGTAGCACTAAGAAAATGTCCTTCAGTGACAGAAGCACCCCAGCTGCTGCTGTCACCTCTCAAACAAAGACAAACAAGTTGATGAAGTCTGGAACAAGAAGGAACAGGCAAAATGAAAATCAGTGAAAAGAAAAGGCCAAGGGAAATTATAATCTCTAAGGTAAGTTAATACTATTCAGACTGTATCTTGTATTCTGATGGCTGTCATGGACACATGGGCAGGCTCGTATTGCCAGCAAAATATGGAGCACCCTTTTCTTAATGCGAGTATGCACTGTGCTGCTGGGAATAATTAAGATTCCTGAGGAAAATGAGAGACTTATCTGATCACAGCAATGCAAGTTCCTTCACACCAAGCGCATTTAGTCTATATTCTGATTATTTTGCCCACAGCAGTAACAAGAGGCAGCTTCAAACTAGGTACTCAGATCAACAACACTCAAGAGAAATAGGTTGTCACCAAAGATGCAGAAACCCTTCTCAGGAACCAAGAGGATTTTTTTCCAGAAATGCTAATGAACTTGTGCATTCAGTATGCTGCCCATCCATGCACCCTGCTATTTCTCCTTAACATAACTGACTGAAGTGAGAATTTGGTGACTGTACTTTCTTTATACTACTATTGAAATGAATGCTAGTTACAGGTACAGAATGGAGGAAAGTCTTGTCTGTATAATGTAGCACTATTCAACATGGGGCTGAACATTTATTTTTAATATATGATGATGGACTAATCTCAGAACATGAGCTCAGCAACACAGAGACACAGTGTGACTAGCTTTTGACTAATCTAGAAATATATTATCTTTCCATCCTTCTATGCCAATGGAATTCCTTACTGAGATGAACTCTCTCTCTCTCTCTCTTTCTGCACGCTCACATGCATGCAAATACAAAAACATCCCAAGCCTCCACAAACTAGGGTTCAGAAAAGAGGCGAGAGAGAAAAGAACACACACACACACACACACACACACACGCATAATATTCATCTTTGTCACCTTGTATCCAATAAGAAGAGGAATTAGGGAGGACTGAATGTTTCCACTTTAAATGTATACATTAATATAAGCAGTCCACATAACTAAAGAAGCATCCCTGTAAGATGGATGACTGTAAGAGAAATGTTAAATCATAGCAAGAGTAGTAAAATCAGCAGTCCATTGAATGGAGGTGTGTGTTTATCCTTCCAAGCATGAAGTGTATAAGCTGCCCAGAGAGCCAACTGACTATACAGTATAGAAATATTTTAAATAAACCATTAAAGTGCAATTCTCTTTGCTACTGTAAGGGCACACAGTATCTACTTTTGCTGTCCATCTGTTAATCCCCGCATCACTGAGATGTAACTTAAAGTGCATGAACAACTACTGTTATAACAGATTTTTAAACTACAAAATGTATACAAGTATTGACTTTCAATGAGACAGAAGTCAGAATAGCACAGGCCCACATTAAATTTCTCAATGAAGCATTCATCTCATGATATTGCTGGACTCTGTTGGAATGAAAAACAAGTTTCCTCATGAAGTATGCTGTGCTTAAATTTTTTGACAGGAAAACATGATTCTTTTTACCAATGAAATTATGCAGGGAAAGCTATTCTGCACTGAGTAATAAGAGAAATCATTAGATTGTGTCAACATCTCTCAGTTTTGCAGAGGATACTTGAAACACTAAATGTGCAAGCTTTCCTCAGGTCTGCATGCCAACTTAACTTCATGTTCTGTTCTGTTCTACTCCTTTGAGTCATCATGAAGGCAGAGGAAACAGTTCTTACTGTTTGATCTACATAGAAGCGTATGTTTCTTTGATTAACTTAAGTGTACGCTTGCCCTACCACTTTCTTCAAGACCTCAAGGAAATGCTGTATTAGAACTCTACAGCAGTACTGTCAAAATGTCAAAAGCTCTTAATACTACTGAGGTAATTTTTACAACAATTATGGGATTTAGGTCAACTATTGTATTATTGTCCCTGTCATGACAAGGGGGCTGAAGCTTAAAGGTTGGTAACTACATCCAGTGCTTAAGATACTCTGAAGTTTTTCAACAGACAGTGGAGATGGTACTGACTGCAAAAGCTGCCTTTGTTAAGAAACTGCCAACTATACAGGAAAAAAAAGGAGTTAGGTGCTGTAGATGCTATATACTGAAAATTTGTCCATGGGATGACTGCATCTAGTTTGTGCATTTCAATGCACACAAAATCAAAAGATTAACAATAGACAAAAAGGTAATCAAAGCTATGCATCTGCTCCTAGGTGAAATTCTCCTTAGTCTACCCTATAAGATCAGAAGCTGGAAAGAACTGGTTGCTTGCAAAGCATCTGTTCTCCAACTATTTTAAGCGAAGGCTCAAGGCTCAAATTATAGCTGCCTTCCATTTCTTGAAAGATTTCTTACCTACTGTTTTTAAGACTGCAGAGTGGAAAAGAGAATAATTTGAGGAAAAAAACTTGTCAGGGTTCAAGAAACTAAGCTTGCAGCATTAATAAAGCCACACTTGTCTTCCTTCCATAATTCAAGCCTATAAGATAAATGTAACTGCCCCCTCCTGTCATTATTCTCTCTCTCTCTCTCTCTCTCCCTCCCACCCACACACTTTTCTGGGTACATTATTCAGCCTAATTTATAGAAATGATTCTATCCAACTTGAAAGTGTGAAGCAAAAAGTCATCCGCTGAATTTCCTCAAATGTGACATTTAGGGAATGTCAGGCCACAATGTAGGTGGAGGACATATTGAAAGCCTCCTGCACTTCATACAATCTGTGCAGTTTTGAGAAGTGCCAGAGTTTTTTGGGGACAGCAAGATATTCTTGAGTGAGTAGGCATGGCCAAATTACCAGAGATTCATGACATTTAACTTTTGCTTGAAAGAATTCTCTGGTCCCTGCAGTTTCCTATTGTATGAAGATAGTCTGATATTGCCACATTCCTGCTGTTCTAGAGCTCTAACATCAAGCATGGAGGCAAATAGAGTCTCCTAAAACTGGAATTCCGTTGCTACAAACATCATTAAAATAACAGCAGCAGCAACAGCATAAAGGAATGTAATCTTTTCCTCCTGGCTTTATAAGCCACAAAATAGGTTAGCCCAAGACAAAGATTCATTTCTCCATGGCAAAATAAAAGTGTTGGAAGCCCTGGAATAGGGCTATTGAAGGCTCAGTGACCAAATTTGACCCCTCTTAGTTTCCCCAGATGACTATCTTTGCTGCTTCTCATTAGCATATGGATGGCACTTTTTTCTCTTGCTCATTGATGAGGGCCTCTCAATTTTTATGTGTTCTCTGCTCTGCTGAATATAAAAGGCTGAAATGCCTTCTAAAGTTCAGCTCAGCTACTGGCAGTTAGATATTTAAGATAAAAAATGCTGGGTTTTTTGTTCCAATCTTTGACCCCACACACCCCTGCCATGTCATGCCTGAAAGTGAATATGGTCCCGGGTTGAAAGAGGGCTTGGGACATCCAAAGCTCTTTCATTTTACAAAGGAAAGTGTGTGTAGTTTTGTGACCGAATGGTCCCAGATAGAGCTTGCTTCCGTCATGGACTCACCAGGTGGACTTCAGTAATATAATTCCATTTTTCACATGGGAAAATAACTGTCCTAAAAGCTGTTATAAGGACAAAGTCTGGAAAGCTTTAAAAATATTATATTCATTTTTAATAAATGGCAACATATAAAAGAGCTACTTTGAACAATAACAAGTTTACAGTTAGGTACACATTCTAGCTAACACTTGAGATTGTACTTGTATGGTTGTAAATTTAGCTTATCTAGGAGCCCAACCCTTTTATGACTCTAGTTTTAAACTTGTTGTTAAAGGCAAGTTCCATGGCTTCCTGAGGTCATAGGAGAAATTAGGATTCCTTGGCTGTCAGGAGAAATTAGGGTTGGCCTCTCTTGCTTTGACACGCCTCTGTTGAGCTTATGTAGCTTGACTCTGGATTCTAACAGGTATTCCATGTGATAAATGCTCAGATAGCTGCTTACAAAGTGCTTATGCCTTATTAGTGTGCTCACACCAAAAGTTAACTATGAAATTAGTTAATATTTCAGTTTCATTGTTAGTTTTCCATTCCATTGTTGGTGTCCTGTTCCAATTAGCATTTTACTCACTAAAAACCTTCAAAAAGAAATGACATACTGAACATGACGAAGACATCTCAACAGTTTCTGTGGTTTTCATCAACATGGGACACTTTTGGCCATGTATTTTGGCAATTCTCAAGCGCTTCAGTCTTTGGAATACATAAGATTTCTTCATTCATGTGTTTGACACAAGATTGACTTTCCAGGATAGCAAGGCCTTGTTACCTTTAACAAGAGTGAATGGTTTGTTTTATTCTTCTCCTTCCAATGGTGCTAAATAGATAGTACAAAATTAGAACAGCAGCCACTGTAGGAATAATAAAAGCAGGAGGTCATATTTGAAGAGCTATTTGCCCTTGTGCTTCTTGGAAGAACTCCTAGTCTCTAAAATGACAAGACAGCTGTTCACAGAAAATTATGCGGAATGATTACTAAAATCTGTATCTAGTTCTTAGACTATGCTGCAAGCACGACAACTAGCAGCACAGCATCAATCAAATAGCAGCTGCTAAGACATGCTGGCTGTATTTCAAGAACACACTGGCAGAATTTATAATTTGTTTGACAGTGCAATATAAATTATATGGGAGGCACGAAGAAGTGCTGATTCCTAGAGACCTTTTTGACATGCAGTCAGGAAGTCCTTTCACAGTGATAGGATTTTGAGGTTCTTTTGAAGTATCTACTGATGCTTGAACTGTAGTCCACAAACCACAATAAAACAGAAAAATGCTACATATAGTATACAGTACCTTGCAGCATATTCACACCCGTCTATTTTAACTGTGGATTTAACTGGCTTTGTTATAACTTAATGTACGCAAAATACAATGTGAAGGTACAAAGTACTTTTAGTTGTGGCAGCGAAGTAATAAAAACCAAACTGGCACTTGCTGGTTGCATAAATATTTACCTGGCAGAGTCAGTATTTGGTAGAAGCACTTCAGATGCAATTTCTGACACAAATGGCTAAAGTGCAGGGTTTTGTGTTGATACTTAATGGAAGCCAGAAGATGACAATTTCAAGACAAAAGAAAGATAGGTTGGTAGTTGAAAAAAGAACTTCTTAGAAGTGGAAAAAATATATCTTCAAATTGAGAACCATTGAGTGATTCAGAGGCTAGAATTTAATTCTAACCATTCAGTAAGCATTACTCATATACTATTCCATTTCCTTTTACTCATAGGAGGGCATCCCAAGCGAGGATTTTACTGCACTGTGGATGCACATCTTTTACCAACCCTATTTTCTGTAAAACTGAAACCAAGTCACCCAGCAAAAAACAAGAGCAAAAACAACTTGATAACATTGGACTAATATATTGTTCCAACTTACACTTTATTCAAATATCAAATAGAGGACATCCAAATCTTCCAATACCAGCATTGGTGCTACCTTCTCAGCTCAGTTAATTTCTCACAGAGTGTTAACAGAGTGACCAATGTATGTTTATGATCTCATTTTAGTGTTTACTTATTAAGAGATACTGTGTTTGATTTATAACCTGCCTTTTAATTAATTTAATTAGATTTATATCTGTTATTATGGTGCGAACCTACACTTTTAGACGAAGGAAAGCATAACATTTTTCTTCCTTCCCAGCCAGCCATGCTGGTTGAAAGATGCTGGGAATTACAGGCCTTTCTGTCAAAATATGTGCAGGATTGCCCCAAAGCATATTTTCCTTCTCTTCAGCTGGAGAGCTTACACAGAATAATTTTAAAAAGAAGTAAGTTCCTGCATAGAGGCTTATAATCTGGGAAAAATACATGAAAAAGGCATAAGGAAGGAAAGAGGCAAACATGGGCATCAAAAGGTTATCACCATGTTACATTGTCTGGAGAAGCAGTTCTGTTCAAGCAGTCTCCAATGATGCTAACAATATTGCTTGTTGTCCTGTTTCTTTTTACACAAAAACTATTTCATTGCTTTCATTCATGTCAAGCAGCACATAAATTATATGGTGTGCCAGGGAACCCAGATGTACATTACATTCCTGAAGTTAAAGTTCCCTGTGAGTCAAGCATGCATTGTGCTACTTTAGGGATGATACATTTCTTTTGATAACAGAAAGTACAGAAAATAAAGGTCACCCAGCCCACCTCAGCGTCAAAGCCAACCCTTCTTTTGCCAGCTTTGCAACTTAAAAGCCAGGTGTTTAGATTAGCAAATTGGATTCCAGAAAGAGATGTAGTGCAGCTTCTATGCCACCCTGTCATTCATACAGTGAACGGATGATTGGGTACATCTGGGTAGGGTTCCTCATCCTGACCCCTTGGATCTGGCAGGTGTTCTGGAAGTACCAAGGTTTCCCCTCCTCTCTGCTGCCACTTGGCAGGGAAGGGGAATAGAATGCATTGCTTCAGCCTATTCACAAGGAGGAAAAAGCTATAGGCACTGCCTGCCAGTACATGTAGCTAAATGGAACAAACAAGTCGCTTTCAGCTGGTGGCTGTGGCAGCACTGGCCAGGTTAGCCATGGACAACCATTCCAAAGCACCACCTAGGCGCATTGTGGTAGCTGTCATTTTATGATGCCATAAAGCTACCATTGTCTTCTGAAAACAAAAGGGTTAAGAACCTTTTATATATTTATTAGCACATCTAAGTCTGCCATTACAATGCTTCTAAGAAACATCAAAGATTCCTTGATAATAACTTAAGAACCTGTGAAGGCAGCAGCCATGCTGGACCATTTAAAAGCTATTATTTTATATGTAGAAAGTGTATTTTCTGATATTTCTACAGCTTGGTAATCAAAATATTTGCAATAATTTACAGTTTAATGCAGAAGAAAGAGCAGGGAGTATGTATATGCATCTGCAGCTCCTCCCTCACAGTTGGCTTTGCTTTGGAACACTGAATAACCCTTTAACCATTACTTAACCTTGCATATTAATGCATTATGCAATTTGCTTGCTTGCAGGAGTAACTGTATCCATGGAGTGTTTCTATGTCCTATTTGCCAATGAGCCAGGTAGGAGGGCACTGTATTATCTATTATTATTTAGAGATATAATCCAAAGCCAGTAAAATATGAAAAGTATTTGCTCAGGAAATGCTGACCTGTATGGTCCTAGTCCTTGACCACAAAAGTCATCTTCAAACAGCATAATCAACATTCTAAATTGAGTTAAAATTGACACAAAAAAAATCACACCACACTGCAATACAGAGTCAAATTAATTTTATTATGCTCCGTGATGAATTGCCACCAGTGCAACATCCTATTCACTGTACATTTCAAAAAAGAAAGAACGAAAGAAAGCCAAAACAAAAATTCACATACCAAGAATTTCAATTTGATGAAACGGAAAGCTGAACGATTGAGATGTTTTCAGAGTACAAGCGGCTAGCGGATATTGTCTAAGCGTAGTGTTGAGATATAGTCCTCATGCTCATTTGCTAATTGCCAAGGCTACTTGGACAGTCAGTTTAACAGGCACATGAGGCTGCCCTGTTACAACGGTTAGCAGCAGTGATTCAATGACTTGAAACACCACTCCTGCCCTCGGTGGAAGCAGGAGAATGTGAAACATGCAGCTGTGACTTTTTAGCCTTATTGTAACTGCAATCATGCTTTAAGTTAAAACCATACGATAGGCTACTGAAAGCAAAACATTTGAACTCTTCTGCAGTAATGTGGATAAACTTTCTATAGGAAAAACAAACGAACAAAAGCCTGTGACAAGTGATTAATGGATTACGGAAATGTCCCCAAAATATTAATCTTCCTAAACTCTCTCAACTCCAGAAGCATGTGCTTAATTTATGCTTATAAAGTAACATCTTTGGAAGCCACCTGAGCAGTATCCACTTTAAAATGCCCTTTATGGTATCAGAACTCAGAGACAACACTAAAAACTGTACCGAAGGCCATTAATACCACCTCCCATGTGCACACATTCTTACTCCCACTATATAGCATTTAATCAAGTTTTAGCCACGCTGCTCACAGCCCTCAAGTGCTATGAGCAGAAATGCTAGTAGAAAAGTCTTTCTGGCAGCAGGAAATGCTATAAATATGATTGCTTTAGGAGAAAGATACCCCAATTCCATTATTTCTGCTTAAAAGAAAAAAAATGACCCTCCTCTGAATAATTTAGCTTCTGCTTACCTCACTCCGTTTCATCAACATAACCTCTTAAATCCGGTTCTCCTTATGCAATTAGAAATGCTCAACGTACATTATAACTGCCCTAGATATCAAGCCATATCATGCAGGTCCCGCCTGTCAAGATCAGGCCAACACTGGATTTCAGTAAATACAATTTTATCCAATATACCATGAATAGCATAAGAAAAAAAGGAAGAGAAAAGAAGCATGTGTTAATTGTACTCCAAATATTTCTCACTTGAAACATTTTGCATCAGTGCAACAAGTGATATTTCTAATGTTTTCTATTCAAATGTTGCCTTACTGCAAGTACAGTATTAGCATAGACAATTGCCTATCATAAATGCAGTACTGCAGAAAAAACAGGCAGATACTCCAAACATTTAGTGTTAGTAAAGATGAGAACTCATATTTTCCCATCATGTACTGGAATGCAATTCCAAGCATAGGGCCTTCCATCTTTTTAGATTATATCCCTTGGTATTATTTCTAAACGCAAGACAAATCAATATTGCAATATGCAAGTTCAGTACATATAAAAAGCAGTGGTTTAGGAACTTTGTAATAGTAAGCCTCTCCCAAAAGATAAAAGGCAGCTCAATTAACTCTATCCTCTCTCATTTCGTGGTCTAGAGATTTAGAGTCAAGAGGAATCAGGGCAACTCAGACGTATAAAGCTTGAAGGGCCATAGGGAAGCCTGTGATGAATATTGAACTGGACCTCAGCACCATCAAAACTAACAGGTTAACAGGCAGTGAAGCCACCCAGTCTTAACTATCTGACTGGAAGAAATACAAAAACTAGATTGGTGGGAAGAGGCAATATCAGAGAGAAACTCATGCTTGTGCCAATTCTACCGAGCCCACCCTCCCCGGCTGAATGCTCCATCGCTTATTGCAATTAGGAGAAGCATATACTTAAGGCATCCATCCATGATTGAATGTTATGGATTTCTAAATGTAGTATCTGGTGCCTAGTTGTGTGGGTTTGAACCAAAATTCATAAAGACTGCAGAGTTACACCATTTAAACTCATTTATTAGTATATCAATGCCCTACACATTTTAAAATTAATTTAAATCCATTACTGATCAGAATGAGCATTAACCACAGTCCTTCAGTTTGTTTGTGTATGTGTATGCACATATACACACACAAATAACTGCAGCAGTTGCCATAAATGCAAACTCTTCTTCATTGTGAAAGGTGGTTGCAAAAATTACAAAGGTAGCTTACATCAAAAAACAACGGGGATGTTTCTAGATTCTGTTTACAGGTGTCTGTATTTCCTGAATAGGAGACAACACTGCCCTAGAATCAGGAGAAATTTTCATAACCACTTAACTGTTGTGTTTCATGCATAGCTTAAATGCTAAATTTGAACTGTCGTGTAATGAACTGAAATTGTTCTTTGTTTTATCAGACTCATCCATAGCTGATAAAGCATACTTTCCAACGTGAAGGGATTAAAACTAGGAACTGCACTGTTGAAAGAATGTAGTGTCATACTAGGTTTTAATAAGAAAATTTAGATACAGAAAAGTAGGGTATGAAAATAGTGTTTTCCTTCTTGCATTATAACTAAATACATTTAAGGTGTGTTTGTCAATTTCGCATATTACATTAAAACTCCCTTACTGATGGAATGGAAAGTATTCACATGTACATTGAGCAACCTGATGTAAACTTGTACACATTAAGTAGGGAGTAGCTTTGTATAGGATTATGACAAACATTTACAGATTAAATGAGGTATTGCACAGATTAATAAAAAAGCAAAAGGCAACAAAAATATACAGCAAATAGGTAGAACATTTACATGATAATTTTACAGAATCCATAGACAGAAAGTAGTTTAGTATTTCACCTTAAAAATATATATATGATATAATAAATTGATCAGTCATCCCATTCATCATCATCTTCAAAATCTTCTTCATCTTCTTCATCCTCATCTTCATCTAACGGTAGGAAATAACAAGGAGAATGAACATAAGAGATATCTCAACAAAACTAGTTTTAGTATGTTTTTTTTAGTTGTTTGCTTAAGGTAACTTTAATTCTTTGAACAGTCATCTGTGCATTCATATATAACATCTTTGCAGCTCCAGGGAGCCTCATTTCAGGAAACTTCCTCAACTAAGCAATTTGGTAGGAACCCTTCCCCACCCCGTTCCAGTGCACCTGCCCCTAGCAACTTCTGCTTGTTCCCTCAGTTCCCCTTAGAATGCCTATAGTGCCCTCAGAACCAAGACAAATCTCCACATCAATCCCAATGTGGACATCAGTGTCGATACTGACAGTGCATCTGGTTGAAATGTCAATACGATTCTGGACACTCAAGTAGGGACAGTGGGTTGTGTGAAAACACAGACAACCACATGAAGAACTACAGTTATAGGTAAGCAACCTGTTTCTCTTCTTCGTGGTCTCGGTGCATCAGACATATGGGTGCTCAGCTAGCTGGTTTAACAGAGGAGGAAGGGGGTCCAATAATGCTAAATAAAGGTAGTTTCCCTTGACTATATCATTGTCCAATCCAATTCTGGCAGTGAAATTCCAGCCCTACATTAACTGATGCTGCAATTATGCAGGTAGAATGAGCTTTGAGAGCTCAGAAGCTCCAATCCCATGATCTCATAAACCAGTACACCCATGTGCCAGTTGTTGAGCTGAGACAGCCATAATTCTATTCTTACCCTGCAGCTCACCAAAAGGGGCTGCGACCTACAAAAAAGACTCAGTTTGGGACTTGTAGAATGCAAGGGCCTGCTCATTATTGAATGCATGCAGAGCGGATTTCACTGGCAAGACTGGTGCAGAGAAGAATGTAGGTAGTATAATATCCTGATTAAGGTGAAAGCTTGATACCCCCTTGGAAGGAAAGAAATGTCTGAATGGAGCATGGCCTTATTCTTATGAACAATCAAATCGGGAGGGGAGGGCATCTGTTTGGAGAGTGCAAAACTCACTAGCTCTATGATAGAATGGAGTAAATTTTGCTTTGTAGCCATGACTAACAGCCAATCATTCAAATAAGGGTAAACTTAAAGACCATACATACACAGGTGTGCACAAACCACTGCTAGGGACTATTGCTGGGCTATTGCTAAACTGAATGAGAGAAACATAGACTGGTAAGCTTGGGGACCAATGAGAAAGTGCAAATACTGCTGACAAGAGCCACGTATAACAATGTGAACACATGCAACCTTCAATCCCTCTTATGCAGCAATGGAAGGGTTGGGGACAAAGTACTCATCAGAAATGTTCACAGTATTATGTAGGATTTGATATTTCTCAGGTCTAGAATTAGCTAAGGCCTTCTATTCCTTTTCTGCCCCATGAAGTGTCTGGTATAGAAACGCTGAGATAATAGTGAGATGGAAGAAACTGTTGCCTTCTTAAGCAGGGAATCCATTTCTAAATGGAACAGAGGTGAAAAGACAGAAATACAAATGGTTCCTTAAAGGTGGAAGGACACCTGTGGTTGAGCCATATTCTTCCCACGCTGTCATAATGGATTTAATGGTGCTCAAGGGATGTGTATGGTTGAGGATTAAAAAAAAAAACACTCAGCCTTAATTAGAGCTTTTCCACAACTTTCTTCCCGAGTTGTTTTAATAGATCCTTGGTCTTCATTATGCTATTTGTTTAGATACACTCTTGAACATACTCTGTGGCCATACAGAAATAGGTATATTTAATCTGAGATCATGTAGCATTGGAATAGCACCCAGGTGGACTCCCCTTAACTACTTACAGTATTTCTGGAGCTCTGTATTTTGAGTACATCAAGTGTTAACAATGCCAATTAAATTCATTTTGATTCCAGGTTGTAAAGGAAAAAAAATGTGGAAAAGTTGGCTGGGGTGGGGGGGGGGGATTTCATGTACAGTTAATACAGTCTTCCACAGTGCTACCTACCCTTCTTGTTCAAAATGTCTTTCACCTCTTCAGCGTTGCACAAAGATGAATGTCTTCTGCTATTTCTCAAACACTAAAAAGGCCCTACTATTCTGCTTCACAGCAGAGTGCCTACCTGTTATACAGTGCCTATATTAGTGCTTAGCAGTACTTTTATATGTTGCAGCCAGATGATCACTAAAACAATTTTTCTTGACAGTGTTAAAAACTTCTGATGCAATGTAAAGACATCTGCAATACCCCTATTATTGTCCATTTGTTTCTTGCAAATAAGCAAACTATCGCCCCAAGGCTTTTGTGAATGGGGCGGCATACAAGTGCTCCAAACAAACAAACAAACAAACAAACAAACATTCTGTTCAGAAGCACAACAGATGACCTCTTTTTCCTGAGTAAAAGATATTTACAGAAATGGAAACAAAATCTATAAATGACATCTGTTTTGACTATTCTTGAAAACAGAGCTTTAGACCCTTATAGTTTTGCTTGATGGAATTTTAATAATTGCTACAGGCCAACTTTCAATAAAATATTTATTAAAAAATGATATGTTGATATTTCCAGATAAAGAATGTTAATCACTTTCATGCTACACATGAAATTGAATATGGGACTTTGTATTAGCCTTTTCTCCTAGATTTTGTATTTAGTACACACAACACATCAAACATGCATATTAATTAAAAGAGTTTACTAATGCTTAGTGAGACCTGACTGAACCAAATACAGATTTAATAATCTACCTGAAGAATGAATGGCTTTGCTCCTTTTCTGCATAACTTCCATTAGTGCTCCCACAATACCTGACGTGGGTGCAGCTGTAGGTGGTGCTGTCTCCTGGCCATCAGACACCTTGGGAAAAGAACTGAATTCATAAGAATGTACACAGTAATATATTTAAGAGGCAACTATTTAAGAAGCCTGAAAGATGAACAGAAGATGCCTGAAGAAATAATAATGGTAAAGTAAAACTTCAAGTAAAAAGAAAGATTTAAAGCTTCATATTCAATCAGTATAAACGCTATAAAAGCACCAAATGTTTAAAAACAATGGCATTATAGAACTGAAAGTGGTGTTAAAGTGCTGTAGTCTCTGTTAATAATAACTGAACTAAGTTCTTTTGTTAATGCATTTTGACTAGGTCCTTAGCATACTCAGATAACAGTGCCAAGTTTTCATTTTAACTGATAAATTAGCAGGTACTGGGAGCAGCCTAATGGAAACTGAAAGCAGCAAATAATGAAAGAAGCAGAAAGAGAAAAGGAGGACATGCGAGATCCAAAATAAGTTTCTTCGAAAAAGAATGTTGTTTGAATTCAATGGAGTGATCAAATTGCTTCAAGAAGTTATATGTAACTTAAGGAGAAACACTGCCTCTGCCAAACACATATAAAAATGCACTTAAAGCAAAAATATAGAATGTTTGAACAGGGCACTTACAGGGGAGGAATTGAGGGAGGGATGTTTAATGCATCCTGAACATGATGCTTCACTTCTGTAAAGACCTTTCCAACCTCATAGCCTTCCCCTCTGTTATACTTACTTCTGGTTTTACAGTCTGTCAGATAATAAAGAACAGACTGAAGGAAAGAGGCATATTAGAGAATAAACATTCCCCTTCCCTTGTTTCACTTGCACCTTCAGAAGGTTGGAACAAAGCTGACCCAACCACAGGATTTCATTTGAAATACAGCTGAAACACAGGCCACCAGCCTGTTTGTGTTCCAAAATTTCAAAACGTTCTTGTATAGGACCAGCCCAGGTTAGGTGCATACAATCTTGATTGCAAGGTATAATGGAGAAGTGAACAGCTGAGTAAAAGAAATGGAAAATTTACTGCAGGACATAAAAAGCAAAAACATGAACCTCTTCAAAATTAAGGCTCTGATGATGCCTTTCTTCAAGGTCCACCTCACATGGAGATGCCAGACTGAAACAGCTGCAAAATTCTGTTTCTTTTGGAAACCAGAGTTTTGGACATCTTTAGCAATCTTATTTAGCTGCCTCTCTTTAGCTATACTGCAGACTCATGTAAAACTATTTTATAATACTCTGTTTTTTTGAAATTAGCCTTATCATGTGCTTTACCATTTTCTTTTTTTTTTGAACATTACTTTGAGTATAGCATCTGAAAAGAGAAGTCCTGTCAAAGTCCCAGGAAAGCTCCTTTCCCATACTATAACATAAAGGTAAATGCATTTTCATCCAGGTTTTAGCATTAACATCCTAAATCATATCCATACACTTTTCTCCATGCTAATTCAGATCTTTAAGGTAAGGCAATATAATAACTTATTTTGTTTCATTACCTTTTTGTGTGCTAGAGGCTTAGAAGTATACAAGCAGAACTAAAATAAACCACAGATACTCACAGATTTCAACTGTATACCCTGTCGTATCTGATCAAGTAGAGCATCTCTTCCTGAGCAGGAGACTGGACGACTGTTCTGTTCCACTTTTTTTAACTGGGCACCTTCTCTGATTTGATCTAAGAGGGCTGCTTTATTTCCTGAAGGAGCTGGAAGCTGATGGTCTACCTCTACTGAAAGACCAAGTGGAGGTGGAGGACCAGGAGGGGGTGGGGGAGGGGGTGGGGGAGGGGGCACAGAACTACCTCCTGATGGTGGGGGAGGGGGTGGAGGTGGGCCTGAAGGTGCAGAGGAAGAATGAACTGGAGGAGGTGGAGGGTACATTCTGTTTGGTGGAGGAGGGGGTACTGTAGCACCAGGTCGAGACGGAGGTGGAGGAGGTGGCGCTGCTGTTGGTGCTCTTGCAGGAGGCAGTGGAGGAACTCCTCTTCCCCTAGCAGGAGGAGGGGGTGGCCCTGAGCTATGCGGTGGTGGTGGTGGTGGAGGGGGACCGCCCCGAGATGGCGGGGGTGGAGGAGGAGCTGAAACCAAACACAAACCAGAAACATGGAACTTATTTAGTCGCTTAGCAAGACAGAGCTTTCCCACAAAGGATTAACACTATCAAAACAGAGCTTCATCAAGTTACAAGAGCATCATTCTTACCTTGCCTCTACCTTGTGAAATCCCTTACTAAGTTTGTAGTTTCACTTCCCTTTGTCACCCATTTTAAAGGATATGCAACTAATCCAGCCATTGCATCTACGGAAGTACTGTCATGTTATCAGTTCAACTTCAGTCAATTCTTTGAGATCTGTATTAGTTTCTATCTGAGCTTAGGATACATAATTAACTTACAGCACAATTCTATAGTTCCTGGATAGCCTAGAGAGGATTTTTGTGGGAGTACCAACTGACCTCAGAAACTTTCTCCAAGGTTGGAATTGGGGCTTTAAGCTCAGAATGTCCTCTCCCAGCTTTACAGCCAGTGTGGAAAGCAGCAGTCTGGCTCTGATATTGCATGAACAAGCTCAGAGATAGGCTTCTGGGGACAGGGAGAGGTGGAGACATGCTCCATATATAAAGCGCCCTAATGGCACTTTGCACTCCTTTGTTCCTGCTCTAAGACCAGATACTTGGATGCCACAACTGGCCATAAATGTGTTCTGCATGACTGGATGAATGCAGAGGCAACCTCTGGCTCCATGTCCTTCCTGCCATGCAAAAGATGCCCCTTAATCCTCCAAGTTCAGAGGGTTACATGGATTGCACCCTTATTCTTTTATGAATTTATCACTCGCCTTTTGAGCTGATTAGGGTTCACAGGGCAACTTACTCATTCTGTTATCTGCACAACTTAAACAATTATTTATAGACAGAGTAACAAATGTCAAGTTTATTCCCACATTCTTGTATAGAACATCCATATTTAATGTATATGCATGATTCTAAATGCTGATAAATGGATCTAGATTTAGTCAAACATGGGAGAGATGAATGTACTAGCTTTAGTAATACAGGTTTTAAGTAACCAGCATGATTAAGACTGGATCAAATCCAAAAAGATTAGATAAAGGCTTTTACAAGCAGTGTATCACTTTTAATACAATAGTAGCACATTATCTCAAGAAACCAATTCTATGTACAATAAGGTTTAATATTTTGCATTTAAACCCAGAGAAATTTGAAATGTAATGTATAAGACTTCTGCCCCTGGTTGACAGAGATACTCAACTGTAACACCAAGTGGCTTACATTTTCATATACTTGAAGAATAGCAGAAATTTTGCCCATATATACTATCCAAGATTACTCATTTGTCATTATGAAACAAACCTTTTTGATTTAATACACATCATAAACTGCAACACAGAATCCAATAAAGGTGGCAGAGTACAGGTGTCTAATTCCACTCTCATATGAAGGTCAAGTAAACATCTGCATATGACAGTAATGCTAAGTCAAATCCAGCAAATTAACTCAACACGGAGGCTAACAAGGCTTACATATATGTGGGCAAGGCATGCATTTATGAAGGACTATGAAACAGTCAAGCAATCTGAGGCTTCTTGTTTAAGTCACTGTGAACTTTTATACATTGTAATAATCAAGTTAAACTTGAGTTTTTTATATATATGTAAGTATGCTAGAATTCTCCATTTAAATTTCATTCAGCAGCTTGACTATTCCACCCCTATGGTGGGTGTGAGGAGGAACAGAGGGCAGGTATATGTGTGCATATATGAAGTGAAGCCTACAATTATTTCTTAGTATGTACAGTTATTTTTTCAGGACTGTCTCACTAGGGAAAGGCTTCAGCACATCATACCATTAAAATTTTCTCTCCCCCATATATGATCTCCATTGTTGAGCATTATCCTTGTGCCCAGAATAATTAATGTGCAGATCATTCACAAAACCTATTAATGAGTCAGTTATTAGCAAATGCATTCTACCTAGCAAAGACTAATAATACCACTTGTATGTACAGAGACTTTTGTTATTAAAATACACTAAAAAAACCTCTTGTGATAAGCCAAATCATGCAGACTTCAAACAGTGCTGTATTCTTATTAAGTACATCCTACTATACAGGATAAAGTTAGAAGAAGTAAGATAAGTAAGTTAGGTGATCTCAGCAAAAATCAATTTCAGGCTGTGTAGCACAAAAAACCCTGTAGCCCACTATATACAAAAAAACTGCCAGCATATCCACTTATGAATCTTATGTATCAACTTATGTACTACATATCAACTTATGTAAAGTTGCTCAAATGTTTATGAGTCACACATCACCACAAAGCATCAAACCTTAAAAATTCAAATTCATACATACCACTCCAGCGTGGTGGACCTAGACCATAAATGCGACATACATTAACTTCTCTGAAGCGTGCTACCCTCACTTATTTCTTATGCTTGATTCTCCTGACAGTCAGCCTGCAATCAAAGCTGGCTGCCCAATGAGGGTTGCACATTAATACACTCAGTTTTGTGGTATATGTAGTAATGGTACAATGCTAAGTGTTGAAATGCAATCTCAATTATGTGTTCTCTAACTTTACAATTTTAATTTTTTAGAGTTATTTACCAAAAAAAAAAAAAAAAGATTTGCAGAAGTAACATACTCCTTGGGGAGTCTTGTACATACAGCTCAAGATTTAGTTTTTTACTTTTGGCTCAGTGGCTCCCAAAAGCAAACATATGCTGTAACAGCAGCATATGTTGTGAGCCATGGAGTTTGCAACTAAGTAAAAGTAAGATGTTGCGGTCTCTTTCAAACTCAGTGGGGAACACTTCCAAGTGTGCTCAAGATAGTAATGGTTGTGTATTTAACAAGTATATGCATCTAGAGAACGTTTCTCAACCTGCCTTAATGTATTTTGGAACCATTATAGAGCAAGATTAGTGTATTGCATGGAGCAATGGAAGACTCACCTTGTCTACGTAATTCATTTTTGACAGCTTCCACTCCTCCTGTTTTTTCAATAAAATCATATATAACCTTGGACGTTTCTTTGTCTTTTAGCTGAGCCTCTGAAATTCCACACATATCAAATAGGTTTTTCAACTCTGGATCTAAATTGTTAACCTATTGGAAAGAGTATTTAAGTTATTTCTGGCTTTTATTTTCAGCAAAAAATGGCATACAGATTTTTATATTAGAAAAGGGTTTTTCCACTGGGGGTGGTGGGGGGGGGACACTTTGTGGCAACTTACCAGAGTTTGCCAAAAGTGCTTGGTCTCTATAAACATTTCTATTTTTTTATTTTTGTAAATTAAAAAAGGAAAGAAAAACATAGAATGACAAAATGTTACCAAGGGACCTTGTACAAGTATTACTTATAAAACTAGATGCAGGAAGTTTCACAGAGAATCAGCAATAATCATCACATCATCTAATCTTATAACTACAATTTTACATGATAATACATAATTACAAATAATGCTTACTAAATTGGTATAAATTGCTTTTTTCAACAGACATCTTTATGTTTACATATTAAACTTAAAAGCATTTTAAACTTTGGTTAATAATGCAATTGCAAAACTGTCTTGACCAGAATGCACATTCAAATAACCATAGCCTATCTTCTAATCTTTGTTCCAGGACAGCAAGACTCATCCATGCATATAAATTGTGAGTACCAAAGAAGTTAAGCCCCACTTGCTAAAATGCGTGTACAATTATCCACCATTATGTTTACTCACATCAAAACCTGTGTTTGGGTCCCAGCCAACATGTCCAATGTGTCTGAGATGAGAAGCAAGACAGACAGACAGCAAAATTAGAAATAACAAAATCTTCAAAGTTGCCAATTGCAATCTAGAATTGCCCAGTCAATGCAAAACAAATCTATGGAAAAGGTTACAGAGTTTACAGTTGCAACTGACCCAGGGAGCCATGTGGCAAATAGGGCAGGTTAGAAATCAATAATGAATCAGTAAGTTCCTTGTAAGTGCACTCAGTGCTCAAGCAGCACCTGTTTTCCTTGACACACACATAGTGCCCTTTCTTTGTGCTGTTGCATGTGACACAAAAGGAAGCCAAAACCTTCATTCCATGAGCATTTGCAGTCTTCCTTTCAGCCCAGCCCACTTTCCAAGACAGGGCTAAACAGGAGAGGAAATCCATGAATGCTAAAGGGATGAATTCCATGGAGCCTAGATGCATCCCTATTCTCACCCACTCAAGCAACTCAACCAAAAAAGGCACATTTGCTATTGGTCTAAAGTTCTCAAGGTCCAGAGAAGATTTCTTCATTAGTTGTATCATCACTGCTACCTTCAGGTGCATGGGACCACTCCCTCTCACAAGGAGATACTGATCATCTCCATGGCCCAGCTAGTTGCTTCCTCCTTGCTGGCTTATGTAAGTCAGTAGAGAGAAAACTGCAATACAGAAGTGACTGCATAAACCTGTTCAAGCACCTTGTCAATGTCCTTATGTTGTACCAACTGAAATTCAACTAAGAAAAGTGGACCAGCCTGTGCTATGAGTACTTCATCTGATGATACTGAACTTTTGCTGTATGTCAGACACAGTTCTACTATTTCAACTTTACGTTCAGTACTGCAGCCATATAAAATTTCTAGCAGAAGATATTTTGACATTAGTGGCAGTCTAAAAGTTATTTTCAAACTTCCTTTTCTCATCCTGATTGGAAAATATGTCTGCTGAGGAACACAGGTTATTTATCATAAAAACACATTATGCTGCAAAAGGATTGTATGGTATATTTTAGGATGTGTATGCAAGAGACCTATAAGTTCTCACTGTTGTCACACCAAAGTCAAGAGTGTACTTGGAACATGTCCAATACTCTGCTACAACATGCAAGTACAGAGTAAGATTTGCAACAGCAGACAAGTTGACTCTCTGGAGGCTTTCAGATAATTATTGATCAGTTCAGTAAGGTATCCAAAGAACCACTGAAAGAATTTCAGATTTTCTAAGAATTTAGCTGAAATCTCTTACCCTCAAATTACTAATTTATGCCCATAGCGATTACTTAATGTAAGCTTGCTTGTATTTAATTGAAAAGAAATCCAAGACACATATAGTGGAATTATAAAGTTAAAGAAATTCAGTTATCTGTAGTAGTAGTTATACTCCTAAATTTAACTTACTATGCCTTTAGAGGAGTATTTGAAGTACTCTATGTACAGGACATGACCTAGCATTTTGACAGCAAAAACAGTAGCATCCATTGTAAAGTGAGGTAGCTGTAACCCCCACCCCCACCCCATGTTTAACAACTGGCCCAATGTGGAATGTTCCAAACTGCCTGGAACCTGGCTTGGATGGCAACAGTTATACATGGCAAGCGACCTCTGGCTTTGGATATGACAACATGAACCTATCTTTGAAGACTGTGCAGAAACGTCCCTAAGTTCAAAATATACCTCCTAAAAGGCAGTATTTTTCTAGTTCCTAAAGAATAGTGGTTTCTGGCACTATTTGTCCCTTTATCTCTTGGATCCCATGCACTGCCTTCTACCATATGAGTGTCCAACATCTACATTCACCAAGGACCTTCCTCTGATACCGTAGGCAGAATGCTAACTGGGGAGAAGACTTTCTCAGCTCAGGAGCACCATACATGGCATACCTTACCTAGGAAGGTATAGAATTTGATGCTTTTTTGTACCAGGCCAAGACTTATCTTTCCAGGATTCCCTGCATGTTCCTAAAGCTAGTTTCGTTTATTGGTTCTGCTGGATTTCACTACTCTACCTTGCATTCATCTTTTCTGTGGATTTTAATACTGATTTCAATATTATATTATCTTTCCCTCTCATTTACTGTTTATCTGGGCAAGCCACTGTGAAAGGTTTCCCCCCGTCCAAACTTAAGCATTGCTTAACTTAAACTAAACTGATGTGGACTCCACTTATTTTATGTATGAGGGACTGTTAGCCATTAGTAGAGAAAATTGCTCCTTCTCACATGAAAGTCTGCTTAATTTGTTACAATAAATAAAAAAAAGTAGGAACTTACTGGAAGTTGCTGGGAGTTCCAATATCTGCCTTTGTCAATCTCTTCTTTTTTGTTTTTCCTTTTTTCTTCTCTTTGGTATATGACATATTGTTGACTTGAGAACCATAAAATCTATTAGTTGTAATCTCTGGATTTTTTATGTCAACAGTTGCCATTGGCAGACTTGGACCTGTAAAAATAGATTTTATAATGAATTTGCATAAATTTGGCCAACTTTCTTATACCCATTGGACTTAATTCAAGTATGGAAGAAAGGAAATTTCAAAAGCAAATTTACCCTCAGTTAATAATAAATGGCTGGTTATTGCATAATTCATATCAGCAAAAGGTCAAAGGGTTTCCATCACCATTTGTTTTGATTCTTTACCAAAATGTCAAAAGCAATTGTACCTCATTAACGTTTCATTAAAGTATAAAACTGATAAGGAGACACAATAATGTGCTTTCAATGCAATCAAAATAATAACACTGAATGCCCCCCACCAAACTAAGAATTCCAGTTTAAATGCCACTCTGTGCAAGCACAAGCACAAGCACATATACACACACTGATAGATGAAAAACTCACCATTTCTAAAATAGCAATCCTATGCTTATTTACTTAAGACTAACCCCCACTGAGGTATGGGATTATATCTTTACTGTTCTAAATCTGTAAGCCAGGCAAAAATAATTAATAGTATTAAGCAGGAAACTGTAATAAAAATCCAAGATCTGCTTGTAGTAGTGCATACAAATGTCATCAATTTGAAATTGCCAATGCTGGTAAGTGTTTGAACTCTCCAATAGACAACTGCACGCGCTGCTTAAAAGGCCCACCAGGTTGGGGGCAGAAGCAGAAGGGAGAAAAGAGGCTGGATGCTGACCAGGTTTGCATAACTGGCAGGCAGTTGCTGCACATACTGGTCACAAGATGGTACATGCAGCAACTGTACCATCATAATTACCCTCATCACTGCAACTTCTTTGTTGTGCAAACTAGGTCAGGGTTGCTTGTTGTCACGTGTAACACAAACCCAAGGCCTGGCCAGGTTCACACAAAACAAGCTGTGCTCTGCTGAAGGTAATTACATTACATAGCCCAGCCCAGCCCAGCCCTGTCATGCAAGTGACATATGCCGCATAGCTGCTAGTTAAACGCCTGCCCATTTTGAGAGCCTGGTTATACTATATACTCTCTGAGTCTATCTTACAAAATTACAGCACAGATTAAAAAATAGAGGGAAGAAATATCAGGCTTACTTCCTTGAAAAAGTGTGATAAATTAATTTCAAACTAGTATGCATGTGCATACACATACATACATACTAACATGATGATGAGACAAGGGTACAGACACAAGTGCCTTCTGTCAAAAACAAAAATGCAAGGACAACTTTGATTCATTACATTTCTATACCACCCACAGCTAAAGCTCTCTGGGTGGTTCACAATATTGAGTCACCCAAACAAGTACAATATGGACATCAAATCCCCAAATGAATTTTCAGGGTACTACAACAACATTAATCTCAGACTTTCTCAAGAATCAAAGATTTGGGATATGCCCTATGGTGACACAACATTCATTTTATTTATCTGTTTATAAACTGAAGAACTATATTTTGATAATAAAATAATGAACAACCTAAACAAAGATGAGTAACAATGAAGAATTAATGAATTACATTTAATAACTAATATTGAGAATTACTAACAAAAATTACTAATGAATAGTGAACAAGTCATGTTCATTTAGCTTGTGGCACTGTATAATCAATGTACTAGACCATTTTAACTGAAGTAATTCCTTAGCTCCTGCTAAAACTGTTTTGATGCTAGTGTAGTAGGTTCATTTTTATTTTTAATTCTGCTTGGTGGTACAGTGCAATCCTAGCATGTCAGTTCCATGTACAGGACTGTAGCATTCTGTCAACAAACATCACACCTATCAGTAAATATCTAGACATGGAGACAACTTTCAGCAGATACAAAACCATGCTTACCACTCTCATTAGACTTTGGTTGTCCACGAGGAACACATGAGTCTAACAAACTTCTATTTTCTTCTAACACTGCCATATTTATATCCAATAAAATTTTCCCCATCATAACACAGGCACCTTCTCCATCAGTGGTAGATAGCTCGATTAGTGAAGATGAAAGAGGCCTATAAAGTTCATCATTAGGAAGAACGTGACAATATAGTGGTCCTAAGCATCCACTAATGTTGATGTCTGTCACATCCTCAGAAGGGTTCCCCGAAAAGGTAGTACAAAACATTGTAGCGTTTTGTTAAACTGTGTATATTTCTCCGCTGCTGCTTACTGAAGGATAGTCTGCTGCCGACTAAATCAGATTCCAGCTCATATATTCAAATGAAAGTGGGCCATGTGAATCCTGGCAAGTCTTTTTAAAACTAAGTCTGACAAATCCCCATTTTTATCCCAACCATTAGATGAAGGGTCAGTAAACCCAAAGATAACTGCTTCACACTGAAGAGACTTTTCTATTACAAACAAGAATAAAAACGCAAATCCCAGGAAATGACTGCTAATACATTTTATATAACCACTAATGCCAATTTGTTTAATCCTACAATTTTATTATGAATGTTAGCCAAGCATTTCAACAATACAGTCTTGATTTAAAGTATCTAAAGACATTCTCTCTGCATTTGTGTCAAATACTAAACTGCTGAGGTACAGATGAAGGTAGAAAGCTATTTCTCAAAAGGAGAGGAATTTGTGAATTAGAGGCTGAAATATCTGAGTGAATTCTGCAGATAACCTAATGTCAGTATGCGAAGGTTTAAAGCTGATTTCCTAATCCATTTCCACATAATCAGTATATGCAAAGGACAGTAGTTATTTCTACTAAATTTTAATATTTATTTCTTTATACCAATTGCCTTTGTGGCCTTGCACTGTTCCATTCATATTACATTTTGAAATATCACTGAGAAATCTTACAGCCAAACATTATTAACTGAAATGTACAATGCATATTCAGATACAGATGTCAGGTAGACAATTCCATTTATGAGAGATGAGTTGGGAGTAAATGACAGTTGTTTAAATGGGAAGTTAGCTCAAGTAAAAATCTTACCATTTGGAAGATCTCTCCTTTTCTCTGTTAAGGAAAAAAGATACAAAACAGAATCATTCCTTTCAGGCAAGATGTTAAAACATTTTTCTTCATTTTCAGAATCATTACATATGGACTCAGTTTCACTTATTATTGTTTCAACCTTTGATTTACAAGTTTCACTAGTTTTAGTAACTGGTCTAATTCTCCTCTAGTGGCCGGCAGATGACCTCATATCTTCCAAATAATCTCTCAGCTATTGCTCCAGCTTGAAAATTGGCTCAGAAGTAGGGCTTCCAGTAAAAGCCACAATTCAAAATGCAGTTCCTAAAGAGAATGTTGGTTTCTTCACATTTTTCTCAAAATCTCAGTGATCAAGAACCCTTTGCATATTTATTTTTCCCACCTTTAGACTAGTTTCAAGAGTATTTGGAGAGGATAAAAATAAAGCTGTTCCTATGCAACTCTGTTCAAATAAATAAATCCACATCAAACTGGTAGTAGCAAAAATTCTAACTGTTAAGTTTTGGAAGAAAGACATAATTATTGCAATTAGTTTATTGTCTAGATCTAAGAATGCTTACATATTTTATCTTCAAGAAAGAAAGGGGGATGTCTGGGAGAAACAGAAATGTTTATATTATGTTCTGGAGACCTAAAACAATTACAGTATTGGTAACAGTATTACCATTATTTAACAGGTATTTGCAGTCTGCAGGTGTTGGGTATAAAGGAAAGATTGAAATGTATGTTGAAGAAGAAAAGGCATGTACAAATACATGACACATACCCAATATATAACAAACAAGTGATTTCTTTCTCTGACACAAATGTACACACATGGAACATGCTATGGAGGCACATTTTTTTAAATAAAAAGTCACTATCATGCAATCCTATACGAGACTATTCAGCAGGAAGTTACACAGTTCAATGTGGTTTACTGCCCAGTAAGTGTGTATTAGGATCGAAGTCTAAATCTAAAATCAGTGCATTTTACTCTTGTTTAAAACTTCTCCTGTCTTGAAACTCAACTATTCATTTACAATGAAACAAGACATATCTGAATTGAGTGCCTTTTTCATGGAATATCATTCCATCATGTAAGCCCCTGAAACTGCATTCTGAAGCAGTTACAGTTCGATACAGGTTTATTTCCTGTTCTGCTGTATGTAAGGAGGGGCCTTACTACCATACAACACCTTGGAACAGTCACTAGTTTCACTGCTCCAGCCTCTCAGATTAGCTCCTTAGGTTCCTAAAATTCCCTGTCAGCAACCTTGGACATTATATTAGAAACTGTCTTTATCACAGTGCAAATGAAATTAGGCAGTCCTGACCGGTTTGTGAGAAAGAAAGTTACAACGATTCTATATGATTACATCCTGCAGTGTTATACAGACTTAGAGCTCCATCTAGTGGCTTGACAGAAAAACGAATTCCATCCAAGAAAGGTAAGGTGTCCAGAACTGCCCTTCTATGCATAAAAGCTGACAGCAAAAGTCTATTTCAACATATTATTCATCCAAAGACAAACATCTTTGGAGCCAGATCATACATTGTGCAAACGACAAGCAAAAGGCAAGGAACATATCTATTCTTTTGATGATGTTCACGGAAATGACTAGTCAGGCCCCAGGGTTCATAGCAAAAAAATGGTACTTGGAACAGGGAGTTAACACATGAAGGGATTTCAACACATGCACCAAAGCAAAGTTTCTAAACTATGTCCACATATGTACATATCTGTAGCCACTGAACTGCAGAATAAGCATTCCAAGACAGCGAAAACCTGCATGTGAAGGTGCATACAAAAAGGAATGGCACTTGATTCATATACAGCCAAATGCTGCAAGCTGAACAAATCCATGTATCCAAACAGGTCAGAGATGAGAAACCTCAAGCCCAGGAAGCCTACTTCAATTCTCCAAGAGAAGAGCTTTGCCCTCTCTCTCCAAACCCTGGAATTTGCACAAGCATGCCAAAGCCTCCCTCTTATCTCTCACTGGACCTATTTCTTGTTGACATTCTACCTAAGCTCACTGTTACAATGAACAACAGTATTTAGAAATGTTACCATATAGCATTACCATCTACCACTTATTTGTACAAAATCCTACTAGTGCTAGTTTTACTTGCATGGGACAGATGTGTCCAGTCTGGAAATACCAACTGGTAATTATTATGTATGCATACTGTATACTGTCCAGAGAGCCATGAGGTTATTGCGATGGTATACAAAAGTGTTACATAATAAATAAAATAAATACATTTCTTGAATCCAAGTAAACCTTTTACTAAGTAGTCCACTGAAAGGTCTTCTGTAACTCCATCTCTATTACTTTTGTTACTTAGCTATTCCAGAGAAACTAAAAAGGCATCTTTTTAGCTTTACTGCTTCCAGTTTTCAAAATTTAATTTAATAAAACATTTGTATCCCATCCTTCATGGAAGTGTCTCAGGACAGCTTACAAGTATTGGAAAGGTGTCTGAATGTTTTCTTCTAAATCATGAGTGGGGAACCTCTTCTGGGGAGCTCAGGAGCTGAACTTCCTTCCGGCCTATCTCCCAGGCTTCTGTAAAATGTTAAGTGGGGCAACCCTTCACTTCCTCTTTCACATACCCAACACTCCTCCCACATAAAAACACATGCAAAGATCCTCTCTCCACCTGTGCTGCCCCACCCTACCAATATCATACACTGCCTCGCACTACAGCTTTGAATGTTGGCCTGTCAATGGTTGAACAGAAGCCTTTTTCAAGCTTGATCACTACATGGCGGGAAGCTGCATGTCTAACCATAGGTACTCCCATCAATTCTAAATTTTATCCAAGCAAAACGGTATTTTTTTTGAAGTGTATTTACCAGATTTTCGTTGTCGTCGTCCAAGTAAGTCTGTTAATACCTTTTGGAATTTCTTAGCTTCTTCTTCATTAGCAAAATTAAGACCCACCTGACATGTCTGAAAAACAAAGCAGCACAACTTTTCAAGGAACCTGAATAGAGACAAAGCCATTTTCTGCATTACGTGTACTTAAGTCTCACTGACACCAAATCTTTAACTAGTACTGATGTCACTATGAATTAAGTCTATAACTTTTCATGTGACTGTACACATTAACTTACAAGCCAACTAGAAACAAGACTGCTTGTTTCTGGCATAAACTTTGAGTTTTCAGAAATCATTTAAAATTGCATAGCTTGTATTATTTATTATTAAGTATCCAAATATAAACATTTCAGTTGAAAAGTATCAGTTGGTATTTTATGCCACACTTCAAGAGAAAACACACTTTTTAAGGGGAAAAGTATTATTTTTAAAAGTAAAATACTCACGTCACCAGCAAAGGTATGAAAATATGCTCTAGGACTATTATATACAAAGTTATTATACAATTCTTGTTCCCACAATTGTTTTCCATCCTGGAAGGGAAGGGGGGAAAAGAATACCATCAGGTGATTATAACCATATTCTGATATGATTTCTGCAAGTTAGCAAAAACAGATTTTCTGCATCCTGTCAGTAACTGCACCTCAGAGACAGAAGAAAAGTCAGTGCTATGTTCTTGGAAAGCGACGTGTAGTAGTATTCCAAAGATAGTGCCAGAAGCCTGCACAGTTTCTTGGTACCCTCTACTCTATCAGCAGCTGTATACCATTGATACAAATATATTACAATTGTATAACTGGAAGTGTTCTGTACATCCAAAAATTTAAAGCAGAAAAAATCTTCAGGTGACATGGATTGGCACAAACGTTTGTTAAAATGAGTTTGGGCAAATTCCAAAGACAGGACATGTACATATCAAAACACGTTTGATGCATAGCTGAATCTTTTCTTCAGTAGTTCTTATTGCCAGAAAGGTAAGTTGCATAACTGTGCCTGTTCATGTGTTAACAAAAACTTCTACAACAGGAACAGGAAGCAAAGTTCTGGCTTTGCACATGGTTCAATATGTATACTTCTGTCTTTGGATTCATGAATCCTCTTTTAAAGCATATTTTAAAGCATGATAACATGCACCACAGCACAAAAAGCACCAAACAATTATTCTGTTTTAAAAAGTGTACAGTTCCTTAAGATATGAAGCAGCTATGCAATTCACACATGCTTTTCAATGCATTAACAAAATATGATCAACAAAAATGTGTATTAGAGATGGCAAATGGAAGAGATGCTCACCTTGATATCATATATTCTAATAAAATAAGACCTTTGTGGATTGTCCTTCACGAGGCAAGCTACACCACAGCATTTCTTTGACCACATGGCATTGCGATCTGCTGCATAAATCTGAACAACCGCAGAACACATTGTCTGAAAAGGAAAAAAACAAAACAAAAAAAATATGTTAAGACTTAGACCTCATCATCTTGCGGTCTCCTAATGTAAACACAGCATAACTTCATTCATGGTTGAGCATGACTAATCTCCTCCAAGGAGATTTGCTTTGGTGGTAGTGGTATTTATATCCCACCTTATTTCTTCTTATCAGAAACTCAGTGTAGGTTACACTGCTCCATTTTATCCTCACAATGACAAATATGTGAGGTACATTGGGGTGAGAATGAAAGACTGGTACAAAGTCACCCAGTAATATTCATGGGTGAGTAGGAACTGGATTTCTTAGGTCCCCAGTCCAACCACCACACCACACTGGTTAACAACAAAATTCTAATCCACCACACCTACAACAAAGTACATAACCAGATACCACCTAAAACAACTCAGGCAGTAACTGGGTTCAGATAAGCCAACAAGCCATGATGGACTTTTTTTTTTCTTTAAAAAATAGGTTAACCAGTTACTGAATGATAAATGATGCATTGGGCAACTTCACTCAACATGACAGCTCATCATGAGTACCTGGAAAGTGTATGAGTACGTGGAAGTCCCGCCTGTGGCTTGTTGAGCCCTGTGAATCTGTATAGCAGGGTTTATTTGAAGGTTATTTAATCCTCACATAAACTTTGCCACACAAGTTCCATGATAGGGCA